TCATCCTAAGTTGTTTTTTTTAGATTTCTTCATTTCTATCGTCTTATATCGTTTGTTATACCACTGGATGTACAAATTGTAAAGCAAAGACACTAGAGAACTAAGGCAGGCGGCAACTTTTTTTGTTTTTAAAAGCTGAAATGCGATCATGCAATAGTTGAAGGGGTAGCGGGGAGGTTCTATTACATTAAGGCCTCGAGAACTTTTGGGCCTTGTGTTTGCATCTTCATCATCAGACCGGAACAATTATGTCAATATCGTCGCCCCACCTCCAAAATTTCGATGATGATGGTGACCGTCATCAGTGGTTGGTTGACTTTCATTTCTGCCCTGCAAAGACAACACACAGGCTTGCGTGTGTGCGTTAAAGGTCAGAGGTTGCGACTTGATATCATAGCAGTAAGTAACTGCTTGTGTTCTAATATTGCCTTTTTAAGGGACAAGGCTGGTGTTTTGTTGTTTTTCCAGGGCAGAACTCATCCAGGACATGAAGTCAAAGCCGTATCAGTCCTCACAAGTTCTTCCAGCAGCCTGAAAAGTCTCTGTTCTGTCTCCCCCTCGCCATGCGGAATGATTAAATAGATACAAAAAACAAAAGAAGTTAAAGCACATAATCATCTCCAGTGCCTCTCTGCCCACCTCCAGACGTCACTGTAACGCCGCTTCAGATGTAGACATATGGGCATGGTTCAGGTGTAATGGCTTTAATAATAAAATACAGTCAAATGTGAACACGTGGGTTTCGGTTTGTTAATGGGTTTTTATTTGTATCACTAGCAGCTACTTCAAAACAAACGCACACACGGGAGGAAGCACAAGGGGCGGGGCCGGTGGGCGTTCATGTTGGGTAGGACTGTAAAGACAGCGTGGGATCACTGAGCGTGGACCAGGGCGCCGGCTCCTTTGGCCGTAACCGAAGCCTTTGGGCCCGAAGTTCTTGGCGTAACACGCTGCGGAGGGAGAGGGAGGAAATGATAAACATTCACACGCTGCAGGGCGCTGCGTCCTTACACGCCCGACTGAAAACAATCATTTGCATGGGGAAGGAAGTGAAGGCTTCATGTTGCTGAGTCAAGCTTGCACAAAGAGGGGCACATGCTTGTGGGTTACTTTTCATTCCCGTGTTATGTCAAACCTGTGTCCCGTCCCTGGAGACATTACAAGACGAAGCTGCATACATAGTTTGTATGTGACATCTTCTGGCTTAAGTTAAGGGGAAAGTTCACCACGTTCTTTCATGTAGCTGTTCAATCAGTTTGATGGTTGTTTACTGAGCAATACGTTCCTCAGTGCTACATTGACACGGAGTTCTCCTGTTCACCGTTGGCAGTGCATACATGTACCAGCATGCATTGCACTGGGGCTTTCGACCAAATATGGCTGAATGTCTGCGTCAGTAAAATCACTTTCAAATGTCCACAATGCGATACAAACAGACCAAATAATTTCCAGCATCACTGCGATGAAACCTTGAACAAACTAATAGTACCACATATCAAATATCTTTGCTCCTTGATACAGTCCAGGCAGCCTGCCTGTGAACCACAGACTGCAACATTCCTCCCCCTCAGTTCAGGGTCTTATGACACTCATTATCTGCTGGCCTTCATTGATGCATTTTGCTGATGTGGTCACATGAGCTGACGGTAGTGACGAGCTCAGCCACAAGCATTGATCTCCACTTTAGAAACGCCTAAGTCAAGTGATGAGGATGTGTTAAAGGTTCTCTTGGTCTTGTTGCTCTTGTTCACCTATCGTAAAGCTGTGTCAGGCGTTAGCTACACGCTAACATTAGCATGCTGACATGCCTCGCTCTAAATCTTTCATGTCAGATGATATAGTCCGAGTGAATTAAGCTTGTGTGTCTCCGGTCCTGCAGTACACTAAACCCACTGCTGAATTATTACTAGGTAATTAAGTCATTTATTCTACTCCTGTTTTCCCCAAGCAGTAAGTAACCACATATTTGTAGCATTTTATCTCACCTTTGCAGTAGATCTCTCCGTCTCTCTCAGTCTGAGTGGTTGACTCCAGGCTCTTGCCACATTTTGCGCAACGGAAGCAGTTCTTGTGCCACGGCTATGAGGAGAAAGGGAGACATTGTACTGCTGTTCACGTCCGTCTTCATGCTATCATGCTAAATAAACCATAAATTGTCCAATTCTTTATATATAGTGTTAGCAGTGATTTAAGAGCCTATAATAGATCTCTCCTCCACTTTACGTCATTGTTTCCTGCAGCGAACGCGGAAAAATACAGGTTGTGCTTTAAGCCAATGAGTGGAACCTCCGTAGATTTCACATTAAACCAGTTTTAGTAGCTGCCATAAAACAGCAACAGGAAACACTC